TGTGTGTGACTGCAAACCTCTGTTCAAACTGTTTCTCTTCCCAACAGAATTGAAAAATAGTGAAAGATGAAGGTGATGGGCGGGATTGATCCACAGAACCAAAAAGGAAAACTTTGACTGCCTAAATCATCCCGAGTTTGCAGCAAACATTTTGTATGTGGAGCGCCTACTCCTCCCGTGTGACTGAGCTCCTCACCCTATCTCTAAGGGAGCGCCCAGCCACCCTGCGGAGGAAACTCATTTTGGCCGCTTGTATCCGCGATCTCGTCCTTTCGATCATTACCCAGAGCTCATGACGATAGGAACGATAAGGTAGGAGCGAAGATTGACCGGTAAATCGAGAGCTTCGCCTTTCGACTCTGCTCTCTCTTCACCACAAAGATCCGATACAGCGACCGCATCACTGCTGACGCTTCACCAATCCGCCTGTCAATCTCACGCTCCATCCTCCCCTCACTCGAGAACAAGACCCCGAGATACTTGAACTCCTCCACTTGAGGCAGGGACTCTCCACTGACCCGGAGAAGGCAAGACACCTTTTTCCGGTCGAGAACCATGGCTTTGGACTTGGAAGAGCTGATCTTCATCCCAGCCACTTCACACTCAGCTGCAAACCGCCCCAGTGCACGCCTGAGCCTCGTGAACTAATTAAGACAGCGGTGCCACGTGTTCTGAATGAAAGCCTGCATTAACTCACAGCAACTCTAGTGGGCGCTCCTTACAAACCTACTGCCTTTCTAACAATCCCTAATCATGAGATTTCCCACAATATCGCAATAAATATCATACCGTGCGGTTCATACCGTGACGATATCGTATCGTGAGACTTAGATATCGTTACCCACTCACGTACTGTGTAATGATACTGGTACAATATATTGCTAAATTATTGTTATTTCAAAATGCAATATTGTACATTCCTTAAAAAATATGGGCTTTAAATAGAGCTTTATTCTGATGGATCCTAAAATGAGAGTATGGGGTTAAAAATACCTAATCCAAGTCCAGTATGACACACAGGTGGTCTGAGCTGTGGGCTGCGCAGTGAAAACAACGTCCCGCTTGAACAATAGCAGTAAATCTAGGTCAGAGATACTTGTGATGTTCATGATCAAACCAGACGGACATGTGCTGCTCCCTCTTTAGACTCAGATAATCCACTGCCCCACTCTGCGCTCGGGACGGGGGCTTTGGGGGTGGAACGTGGGCGAGGAAGAGGGAGGGGAGGCAGTTCTGAGTAAATGAAAACAAGTCAAGCAAACATCACGCTGTCGAGACCATGGGCAAAAGAAAAGAAGCTTGTCTGACACTTTGGTAATGATCTAATCTTTTTAATCCACACTGTAAACCCAAATAAATTACCTGAACTCAAAAAAATTTAGGCAATCAATTACCTCAATTATTTTAAGATGATGAACTTTAAAGTCACAATCTTCTACAACGTAAAGGGTTGGATGGTTTTCTACTTGTACCTTTTGATAACAGACGAATTAAAAGTGCAAATTTCTCAACACAAAACTATGAGTCATATTAACGGCAAACATTTAAGTTAAGGCAACTCAATTATTTTCATTTATTATGACTTAAATTTGGGAGTTTTCAAACCACTGGAATAAGTTCACTTATTTGGTGAAACGCTTTGAAATTGTATTGCATTTTAGCGTGTACGATATACATGAAGTTTATTTTTAAATCATCCCTATTTAAAACAATAGAAATAACAGGACTTTATCATTCTCAGTGTTTAATTACTTCAATCTACTAAGTTGTACCTCATCTGTGTTTTTAAGTTATGCTCACTTATATCCACAATAGTTCCCTTTAATCAAAAAATATTAGTTAAAATGACTCAAAAAGAAGAATATGTTACACATAACACATAATTAAGTTAGTAGGACTATTTCTAAAACTTTGAGTATACACAACTTAATCTATTCAATTACTTTGAGTGTTCGGGTTTACAGTGCAGTCTAATAATAGTTTGAAAGTACTATAAATTATTCTGTAATTCTTTCAGCCCCTGCTCTTCATGGTTTGGAAACTTTTGACAGACAGAGATGCTGCTGTTAACCTCTCCCTGACACAGAAGGGTCTTGCTCAAGGGCACAATGACAGGATGCTTTAACTACGCAACAACCAAACAAACAAACAAAAAAGTAGAAAAAGCTAAACTAAATGTTCTGTAGTTATTTGAGAGATGAACCACAGCTACATGACACATTTGGATCAGTTTTGTCTTTTGTTTAAAGGCATTTTCTTTTTTTCCTGTCAGATCATTTTTATATATTTATAAATTTTTAATATTTTTTATGCTGTGGTCCAAAGCTGGAAAAATGAGCTGAAGGCTTTTTGCCAAAACATAATTTAAATATAAAAGCTTTTGAACATTGGCCATCTGAGTGTGCATTTTTTTCACTTTTGGATTGTTGTTTCTTGCATTTGCACTTTTACGCGAGCTTTGGTGTGCGTTTTCTGTTTCGTCTGATTTTCCTGACAAAGTAACAATATATATAAGTTTCATGCCGCAGTGTGTAACTTTTCTGGAGAGGGGCCACTCACAGACAGAATGCCTGTATTCTAGGTATGAGCAAAAGTATACTGTGGTTCAAAGCAAGAAAAATTATCTGGCAAAGACTTTTTTGCCAAAACTAGTGATGGGCGTGATTAGTCGATTAATCGATAATTGATCATTAAGAATTTCATTGATTACATTCATTTTAATCGACAAACCGATAGTAGGTTGCTGTGCGTAGCGTAGGGTGACCAAATGGGGGTCCGGACATGTAGCTCTCTGCACTCAGAAGGAGCGAGACACAAACAGTCGGTCAGTCTACAACATGCTGAAACGCAAATGCGTATTTAACAATGACTTGTACAAGAAATTCCATGCTTTCCATTGTGGTCGGGACAAGTGTGAGTCTATGTGCACAGTGTACAAAGCAGCACATATGTTTCAATGTCGATGATGAGTCCCCACCTCCCACCTCCCGTACAGTGTCCTGGTTTTGACAAACGCAAATATGGTCACACTAACCTGTATTCCACTGAGTCGTGTCCATTAATCCAACAGAAGTTGAATCGCATCAGCACACAAGAGCTGTATTTTTTTCTTTGCTTAGTTTATGCAAATTAGCCATGCAGTTTTAAGTTTCGTTTCTGTGAGACTTGGACAAATATGCATTAAAGACATTATAATGTCAAACGGATTGACGTGGCTCTAGAGTCGTTACGGTTTATATGTCGTAAAGTTGAATTTATTTATGCAGATTAGTAGTGCAGACAGAAATAATGATGATCATTTTAATATAAAAACATTAATGATTAATCGATAATCGATCGTTAATTCTCCCGAAGATCGATTAAGAAAATTTCAACGAATGCCCATCCCTAGCCGAAACCTTATTAAAGGTTGGAGGATTTTTTTTGTTTTTTTTGTTTCAAGTTGTCAATGATAGCATTATAGAGGTGCAGTAGCCTTGTAATTATGATGACCAAAAAAAAGAGAATAAAAATTCATCAACTCTGGACGTGGTGGGGCTAAACATTTGCCAATAGATAACGACACTGCCTCGTTATCTGTTAGCTGACAGGCTGTCAATCAATCTCCCTACGTTTCTAGCGTAACTGACTTGCCTGCGCGCGCCGCCGGTACGTGGTTTACGTACGCTGTCACGCAGTCCACAGACGCAAGACGCACAGACGCTGTTTACTCCACCAACGCAACAGTTCTTAGCGGCTTTTTTTGACCTCGCAGTTAGCACAAAGTTTGTTGCAATGGCAGACAAGAATCCAGGAGCAGTTAGCCGCAAAAGAAAGTCCGTTTTTGAGGTCGCTGAAAGAAGAAGACAAGGGGAAAAGCAGCGAAGCCAAACTAAGGTGATTCTTATAGATTCATTCCAGCGATGGCGCAACTGAAGCAGACGCAGGGTCTAAAGACTGACGCATTGGTCGCCAAATTACTCCTGGACAGGTAACTTCTGCTTATTATGAAAACGTACTTTATTTCCAAGAGCTAGTCAAACGTTTTTCAGGACACGAAAGCGATATCCTATGTCTGAAAACGTAATTTTCAAGGCAAAGAAAGAGTCCGCTTGCTGCTGCGTGTTGTAGCTAGTTCATTCGCACGGAATCTCCACGCAACCTTCTCTGCACCCCTTTTCTGCTCCTCTCCCGCTGCCCGTTCCGCTCTTCCCCTTCTCCTCACTTCTCCGGGCACGGAATCTCCGCGCACTGCTCCCCTCTCCCCTCTCCTCTCTCCTCTCTCCCTGCTCCGCTCTTCTCCCTGCTCCTCACTTCTCGTCCGCGAACGAAATGTCCGCACACCCGCTCCCCCCGCTCCTCACTTCTCCGTCTTGCCTAACCAACACTGTAGTTAGTTGTTTACAAGTCATGTGCAGCGCACCGGCTGTAAACAAACCTGTTTCTGGCGTAAAGAGGAGGCGGGAGGAGGCGTTTCTACGTAGGGAGCTGTAGGGGGGGGGGTGGTTTCACGCATGCGCAACATTTGAAAAAAGACAAACAGTTGCTGGATTTCTCGTTCCTTGGAAAATCCTCTATACAACCTTTAAAAATTTAACATTTTTATTTCCTTTAAAATTATGCTTTAAGATTATAATAAATGTACAAGATGATGAAAGGAAATGATCATGGTGAAAATAATATTAGTTAAGTAACTAAAAATGTTTATTTAAAAAATGGGGGAAAAAAAAAAAATAATTATCATAAACTGGCCAAAATATCAATATAAGAGAGCCTAGTACTTTTGTTTTGTTTAATTAAATTTGTGTCGGTGTGTTGTTTGGTTGTTTTGTATTTGTTGTGGGTGTTCCTCTATGTTTTTGTGTTTGTTTTTTATGATGATTATTGTATTTTTTGATGTTTTATTCTGACAAAGGCTTTTTGCCGAAACCTAATTTAAAAATAAAAAAAGCTTTTGGACATCGGCCATCTGTGTGTGCTTTGTATTTATTTTTTTCACTTTTGGTTTGTTTTGGTGGTACCTGGTAGAGCTCATTGGCACACTTGCGGCAGAGGTTATGTTGGCAGGGCAGGATCACCACAGGTTTGTTGAAGATCTCCAGACAGATGGGACAGATGAGCTCCTTCTCCAAAGAGGCCATGGCTGCCTCCCTCTCGGCCCCGGCTCCGCTCTGAAGACAGCTCAGGTCTGCCGACAGAGACATGGCTCCAGAGGGCTTCAGCTGCTACTGGGACACCTACAGGAAACAAAAATATGGACTAAATATTTCTTTGTGTTGATACTTTGCAGCTTATAAATCAACATTTCCTGCGGGATGAAACTAACAGGACAAAATGCTCTGTCTAAAGCCCTGTCCACACTAGTACGTATTTGAGTTGTTTTCATTGTGGATGCAGTGTTCATCCACACTAATCCGACTGAAAACGACTCCAGAGACGGAACGATCTGCTGCCTCCAGCTCCCATGAATTCATCTGAGTACAGATCTGATCCGGCACTGTGTGGACACCTGAAAACACTGATACTCTGATGTAGATCTGTGCGCCACGAAGTAATTCACCGCCAAAACACTAAGAGGCTAGAATATATAATATTCAAACCACCACTTGATACAGCCTTCAATGTCCAGAACGCTGCAGCTCGTCTGCTCACAAATACTAAGAAACGTGAACACATCACACCTGTTCTGTGTGACCTGCACTGGCTCCCTGTCTTATATCAGGTGCAATTAAAATATTATTAATTGTTTTCAAATGTTTGCACTCCATGGGTCCAGTCTATTTGAGGGAGTTACTGCAGTCTTACACTCCGCCCAGACCCTGAGATCAGAACAGCTCCAGTTGGTCGTGCCCAAAACTAATCTCAAGATGAGAGGTGACAGAACTTTTTCTGTGGCAGCGACAAGGCTGTGGAACAACCTTTAGTTTAGTACGAGCTGGTCAGGTTATCTTGGTGTCTTAAAAGTGGTTTTCACATGTTTTCTGTATATATGTATTTGTAACTGTTTCTTCTGTTTTGTTGACTTGGCACTTTGGTCAGCTGAAGTTGTTTTAAATGTGCTATATGAATAAACTTGAATTGAATTGAATATGTCCATTCATATAAACATGTGTCTGTGACCTGCAGACGTGTAATCTCTGAAAAGTTTAACATGAACCATCTCCAACGCGACAGAAACACAGAACAGACTCACCATCAGCCGAACACCCTTCTGTCACAGAAAGAACACTCATATTCCACTGAGTCGTGTCCTTTTTAATCCGACAGAAGCTGAACTGCATCAGAGCACAAGGAGCGAGCTGTTTTTTTGAGCACTTAGTTCATGCAAATGAGCCATGTGGTTTTAAGTTTTGTTTCTGTAAAACATAAACAAATATGCTCAAAGCTGTGTGGACAGGGAAGACTTGTGGACACAGAAACGAGTCAGTCCTCACTCTGAGCCGCCATGCTCATCTTAAAATCCAGTGTTACACTAAGTAACAACTGAACCTCGTCGTCGGTCCACGAAAAGACAGTTTTTACACTCGCCATATCCCTCGGCTCAAAATCAGCTGCTGCAACTTCAAACTTCCTTGTCCCGATGTCCGCTCATGAGACACCGGGACATCGTGACGACGTGACACCAGACTATCACGTGACGAGCGTTTCAGGGGCTTTGCGTTACTGTGTGGACAGGGAACGCTTTGATTGCAGATACAGAAATGACGTGTCTGGACGCAGATTTTTTTTCCAATACAGTGATACGCGGATTCTTTTCAGTGTAAACGTAGCCTGAGAGACAGTTTATGCAAATGAGCCATGTGGTTTTAAGTTTCATTTCGGTAAAATATTGACAAATATGCTCAAAGCTGTGTGGATAGGGAAGGCTGGGGAACACAGAAACGACGTGTCTGGACACAAATCGTTTCCGATACGGTGATACGCGGATTTGTTTCAGTGTAAACGTAGTCTAAATCTCTGTTACTTCTACTTTTAGCTTTGTTTTAACATAGGGTGACCAGATTTTCAAAATAAAAAACTGGGACATCCCTATTTTTTGGTGGTTGGTAATAATAAAACTGTGAAACGAGTGCGTAATTAAAGAAAATTGTTATGCAGAGACCATTCAACACAAACATGCGAGTCAGTATAGTCACTTTTTCTTTGTGTCTTGGTCATTTTTAAGCAGCTTTTATGTATTTTATCTACAGAAAAGACAATTTGTCTTTTTGAACTGTTGGCATGGAGCAAACTGTTCAAAAATAGGGACGTTTCTTGTATAAAACTGGGACAAATCACTAGTTTTGGATAAATCTGCTGGGACAGGGGACACAAGGCTCAAAACTGGGACTGTTCCGGGTCTGGTCACCCTATGTAAACACAATCTGAACAGAAAGAAGTGACTTCACTGGAATTACGACAGATGATCTGATTTGTGTTGCAAACAAGTCCCTCTCAAATAACATTACAGTCACAAGCTTAGTACCATTGGCCAACAGTTGGTCACTCTCACCTTTTTTGTTGAAAATCAAACACGTAAACAGGACCATGAATGCTTGTATTGATCTCAAACTCCTGAAAATGTGTTGTTTAAATCCATTTTGGGTTTTTTCTTGAGATTTCAGAAGATTTTTAAACTTTACTGCCACCCATCTGTAATAAATATGCTTGACCTTATAGCATGTTATGATATGAAACCCAGCAAACATTTTTTATTAAAAAATTTGCTATACTCTGAGATAATAAAAAGTATAACTTTTATGTATACAAAGTTGTTCTGTAGTTATTTGAGAGATGAATTTCAGCTACATGACACTTTTGGATCAGTTTTGTCTCATGTTAAATTTGTTTAAATGTGTGTTTTTGTTTAGTTTTTTTTTTTTGTCTCTGCACTGGTATCGGTTTACAATAACGGTCAAAAGTTTTAGAACACCCACATTTTTCCAGTTATTTATTGCAATTCAAGTCATGCAAGTCCAGTTCAGAGCCTTTATGCTGAAAATCAAACACGTAAACAGGACCATGAATGCTCGTATTGATCACAAACTCCTGAAAATTTGCCATTTAAATCCATTTTGTGTTCTGTGTGAGATTTCAGAAAATTTTAAAACTTCATTGCCACAAAAGAATCAGAAAACGCACACCAAAATTCTAGGTGCAAATGCAAGGAACAGCAAGACAAAAGTGAAAAAATGCATAGCACGCTCAGATAGTCGATGTCCAAAAGCATTATTATGTTTAAAATAAGGTTTCAGCAAAAAAAAAGCCTTCATCAGATATTTTTCTTGCTTTGTGCTGTGGTCCAAATGAAGAAAAATATCTGATGAAGGCTTTTTTTTTGCCAGAACATTATTTTAAAAATAAAAAAGCTTTTGGACATCAGCCATCTGAGTGTGAGTTTGTATATACATTACCTGTTACTATTTTATTTATCGTTTTGTTATTAAAGTTCTATCTTCGTTTTTGCAACCAAGCAAATATTAATATACATTTACTCACCTTAAATCCAGTAGACTCTCACTTTCTTCTAAAAAATATTGACTTGTCAGATCTCTTTTGTACTGGATATGTTTCCTCTGTCCAGATAAAAACAGCTTAGTTGCAAAGTATTTTAAATATTTCAGATTCGAGCTTTAAAAATGAATGAAAAAGATCTTCTCCGGTTCTTCAAACTCTTATAAAACTGTTTTCATTGCACAAAAATATCAACTTTCAGGAATTTTTAGAGTGTATCTGAAGTGCTGAGTAAGGCTTGCAGAGTTGTTGACCAGATCAGACATCCAGTGTGCGTCAGCCCGATGTGGAAACTCCCTTGAGCCGCTCCAAGCATCAGCTGTCAGCGGAGGTAAAACCTGTCTTCAATACTCGGTATCCATTTCATAAACGTGCAACAGTTCAAAATTTTTTTAAAAGCATAAATATCCAATCATTTGCATCAATCCAACTCAAAGCATAAATGACATAGAACCAAAAATGTACATGAAACTATCTGTACTTCGAGTTCAGTTATTTTAAGGGGTACTAGACAAGGTTCCCCTGTAAGCCCTCTGGAGTTCTATCCTCGCTTCTTTTTCTTTTTCCATGTAACGTGTTCGGAAAACCGTCTTGATGTTTGTTCACAACTTCCCCCCCATTCAATGAGAGAGAGAAAGAGAGATGGAGAGAAAGAGAGAGATAGAGCGAGGTTTCAACTTACACTGGTTCAGATTTCAGTTCTCTCTCTCTCTTATCTCTCTCGCACACACACAGAGTCTATATGGGGCGGGGGGTGGGACGGCGAGCAGGGAGGGGGGTGGTATGTGGACAGATTAAGACTGTGCCAGCTTGTGCTCTTTCTTTGGTTACAGCCCCGGTCACCCCAGCCAACAGCCACCCCGACACGGAGGGGGGTAAGAAGCGCTAACTGTGGCCTAAATGGTTCATTAACTTCTACTCATTACCATTTGTGATTTATAGACTATAGCAGAATGAAAGACTTTCAACAGGATATCAAAAAGTTAATTTAGGTATTGCTAAGTTTAGAAAGGAGACTTGTACCATCATTTTGAAGTATTCTTGGTAGCGGGCTACTGGAACTGAAAGGTTTATGTCCATGTAGTTCTCGGAAGTTTAGCAGCTACTGTACTGCTGTAAGACAATAATGTAAGTCTACACCCAGGAAGTACATGATGTTTTATACAATAACTGTGAAAAGCTTTAACCAGAACTACTCGATTAGCACAACAGCTTCCTGCCCACAGCAGACTGAGACTCTGATTGAACTTTATAGTAGGGCTGGGGTGGTTGGTAAAAATAAAACTAGCTTTTTGTACTTACCACCACATGGTGGTAACTGAGCTAACTTCATAAAATCAAAAAATGAATGGTACTTGTTTGTTTCAGCATAAAATCTAGCCTAGTGTAACCAGACATCCCTGTTTACCCGGGACACTCCCAGTTTTGAGCCTTTGTCCCCTGTCCCAGCAGATTTATACAAAACCACTAATTTGTCTCAGTTTTATCAAGAAATGTCCCGGGTGTCCCTATTTTTGATTTGATCTAAACCAGGATTTAAACAGGACTATCACAGTTTTGGATTAATCTGATCCATGCCAGTGCCAACAGTAAAGAAGATCATAAATTGTCATTTGTTTCGCAAAAAAATGCAGTGACAGAAATCCCTGAGATTATGACTGACATGAAAAAGCACAAAGTTTCATGTTATTTTCACAATTTTATTTATACTAAACATTCCAATCCGGGTGTGTACCAGTTTTAATTTTGAAAATCTTGTCATCCTAATGTAGTGTTTTTCTCTCAAACACATGTTACTTGAACTGACTGCTACTCGGTTGTTGCCACTTAAATTGTTATAACCTCCATTTAAAGAGATCGTTCATTGTTTACACTTGTGGTTTATTTGATTTTAGTGGAGAGAGTGGCTATGATGAACGCAGCCTAATAAGACACAGACACAGCATGACCTTTTTTCAGACTAAAGCAAATTATTTATTAATTAATTATTGCATTTATATAGCGCCTTTCAAGTCACTCAAAGCGCTTTAGAGTCCATTGTTCACTTACTCCACTCTCAGTGGTGGTAAGATACTGTTGTAGCCACAACTGCCCTGGGGCAGACTGATGGAAGCGAGGCTGCCAATCTGCACCATCGACCCCTCTGATCACTACCATCTCACACTCACACACTTTTTTACTAGGCAATGTGGAGTGCCTTGCCTAAAGACACAACAACAGTGGCGCCCCCCTGTGGCACCTAGAATTCCCAGTGGTCTCCCATCCATGTACTGCCCAGACCTGGCCTCATTTAAGTCTGAGCTCTGATGAAATCAGGCTTTGACAAGTCAATATGGCCGCTACATTAAACAACGTAAATAAGAGTAAAAATGTTAAATGTGGTTCTCAATTTAAAGGAGAGCTTCATAACTCCTGCTTGGAAATATTGTCCCTTTCACAAAGGCAATGGCACAAAATCTATTTATTTACACAGATATCATTCTGAAGTATAGCTTTAATTCTCTATTTCCATGGAATTATGCAGAAAATTACATGTTGTTGCTTTAAATCTATTATAGATTATTCCATCCATCCATTTTCTTCTACTTATCCGGGGCCGAGATTATTTGATTTCTTTATTTGATAGGGCCAAGTTTGTAGTTTAGATGTGTAACATACTACAACATTTACAGCTAAGGCTTATTTGCAATGTTCCTAGAAATGCTTTTACAGAAAGGCAAAGAAAAAAGGATTAGATTATGTCATTTTTGTTAGACCTACATACAGTACAACTACATAAACAGAAGATTGTTTTACACAGCCCCTACTATTCAGTGCAATAACAAATGTAATAAAAGTAATATTGCATATATGCAGTGTTGGGAAGGTTACTTTTAAAATGTATTCCTCTACATATTACAGATTACATACCCCAAAATGTAGTTTGTAACGTAATCCATCAAGTTACTTAAAGTAACATAATCTGAATACTTTGGATTACTTGATATTGTCATGCTTTTTAAAACTGCATGAATGTAGCAACCACATCCTGAAAATTCATGTTTGTTCTCTTCAAATTGTCTGTTGAGTCCAAGTCTTCATACAGTTGTTTGCTGTAGAGAAGCAAAGATTAGAATATCTGAACATAAGACGTTTTGTCTGCTAAAAGACAATAAAAAAAACAGTCTTTACTTAAACATATTAAAACTATTATTGATAGAGAAATGATTTCTATATGAGATCATTGCTGTCTTAAATTATGTCCACCCTACTGTTAGGTATCATATTGTTTATAAAAAAAAAAAAACTTTCAGTACAAACATAAAGGCTCCAACCCAGTAAAAATGATGATCAGATTATTAACAACGACGATTATTAACGACCTCGCCCATTGAGTGACTGACACCACCAATGTTAACAAGACGTTTATCGCCCCGGTCTGTTTGGGTTTCCGGCAATGAGTGGAATTACCAAAATAAAATTTAAAAAAATGGGATATAGCCCAGAATGTGAAAATAGGAAAATACCACCATGTAATCCATTTATTTCAACAAAGTAACTGTAATCCAATTACCACTCACTGAAACAGTAACTGTAACTGAATACAGTTACTCATAATTTGTACTCTGATTACATAACGCTGGTACATGTAATCCGTTACTCCCCAACACTGCATATATGATAAGGTTCAAGTCTCTCTCTGGTTCTTGAGGTGCTCCAGTTTGCTCCCATAAACCCAACAGATCAAATTTAACTCAATAATTATAGTCTGTGGAGGAGTTCACCATCTTCCAATTCACTTATATGTAGTTTCAGACTGCACTGTTGTATATGAACATTTTACCAACAAACTGAAGAGAAAAACATGAAACAGGACACGGTGAAGCATGAGAAACATTTATTACAACGTCAGATATTCATTTACCCGAGCGTCTTTGTGACAGACGCGACACAGTCCATGCTAAAGACAAAAAACTAGTATTTATTTACCTGCCTTTACGGCACTTCTATCCTCAAGCTCGACCGATCTAATTTTCAATCCATAAAAAGATAAGAAAATAAATAAAATAATGCTTGAATATCATCTGGTTGCTATATTCACACATACATCTTTTTGTTTAGTTATTGTCAAGAGTTTTAAATCCTAGAATAGTAGTACTTTAGTCCAGTCTTGTATTCCACACTGCATTCATCCACATTTGGTCAATAGAGAGAAATTAGAGTAAAAAAAAATAATTTGGATTTGACATTGTGGCATGTTTAGTGGTCATATATAAAACGTGAACATTGGGGCAGAAGTTGTGTGTGTCGTGAGATGGAAACTGAGAAGAAGACAAACTTTTCAAGAGACAGTTCAGGTTAGGAGTAAAAATACTGACTACAAAAGTTGGACACCAGGTCGTCCATTTGGATATTTGGAGTCCAGATGGAAACCTGCGAACTGTTTTCATGTTCGTTCACAGATCAAACCATGTCATGTGTCGAGAAGAGCTTTTAGGGCCGAGGAATTACATCAAAACAACTCAGGAACTGATCAGATAACTGAGAGAATCATCGCCATATTTATCAATTAGCAAAATAATTAGTAATGTGGACTGTGCATGTTGTCCCTGTGTCCTTAGATGTTCTCGTTTCCTCCATCAACCTAAAATTTGCAAAATAACCCATCAAAATATTATGGCTGAGTGGTTATCGAGCACTCACGCCCCATTGCATGAAGGTTCTGGGTTCTACTCTCTGTGTGGAGGTTGCATGTTTCTTCCCGTGTCTAGGGCACTTGGGTTTCGTCATCAACTCAAGGATGTTTCTTGTTTTAAAAAGACGTGAAAGAATCAGAGCGTCGCACATCAATTACTTGAGAAGGGTGCGTTGGATGAGACGGCCCAAGAACATAGAGAAAAATCCCGCACACCGTCTTACTTGCAAATTGAGAGATTTATTAGATTTATTAGAACAAACTGTGCAACATTTAGGTCTTCGAAGCCCGAAACGTTGCATGGTTTGTCCTAATAACTCACGATTTGCAAGTAAGACAGTGTGCAGGATTTTTCTCTCCGTTTTAAAAAGACAAAATAAAACTTAATCAAAATTTGAGATTGAACAATAAAAACTAGAGCTCGGTGATACAACAAAAAATCATAGCACATTGTTGTTATATCACGCAGCTCTAGAAGAAAGGATGTTATTACGGTTTTACTTTGTTTCACTTCGTACAAACCTTCTGACCTCGCAGCATTAGATTTTGTTCGCTCGACAGCAGGCGGATACTTTTTTAAAATTTTACCAATTGCTGTTATTTGGTCGTGACGTATGTAATGCGCCGCTAACTGGATTAACTGGTATATTAAGCTTTTCCAAAATCCTGTAGGAAGGACAATAATGTCTTTCCCCTTGATAAAATTCACCAAGCATTCTCTTTGTTCCGGCTTTAAATCCTCGATCTTGGGAATTGTTGACAACACTGAATGTCTGTCTCTTCACTGATTGGCTGGTGTCTGAACTCACACTTCTGGAGTTTTTGTGAACCGTCTAGTGTATTCAGATTCCTGACCTAGTCGCTGGAGAGAAATGAAATTGAGCAGAGGCACTAGGTGGCACCAGCCTGGCTACTGAAGGATGGGTCTTGTTTTAAAAATTGAACAATAAAAACTAGAGCTGGCAGCATCACAGAATGAGAACATCTTGGCCTATTTAAGCTTTGAAACTGCTGCGATTTATAAAATAAAAAAGTAAAAACTTGATTTCACTCTTCAACCAAGCTCAACCTCACCAAGACTAGCTCAAGATCCGGAGATGGGTCCAATTGCTCCTGGCATAAAGGTTTAACCAAGTGACGCTGAAGCTCGGGTCAAACGCAAAGGACGAATTTCACAATAAAATATCTTAAACTTAAGTGCTTCAGTTTTGTCCTTTGTATTGAGACCTGCTCTATCTCCATCTACAATCAGAGTCAGTATTTTCACTGCCAAATCTAAACTGTCTCAATAAATTCATCTTAAAGGTGCATTGCGTGACTTTTCTGGTGGACGGATCGCCACCCGCTTGTCTCCATGGAGATGTTGTTGCTTTGCCTGGAACACACGAAACATTTCCATCTACCATTTATTCATTTTTACTGATCAGAAATACATCTCCCTCATGACAGATCGGTTTAATCTTTACTGCGGAACATTCTAGACAAAGCAGAGACATCAGGGGGCGGACCATCGTTTAGAAATGGCAGTGCATTTTTAAAGACAGATACGAACGGTTTATTAATGCAAAAAGTGTTTGCAATGGAGTGAAGGAAAGCATAGAAGAGACTTGTTAAAGCTCTTATTGCACTCTCTCAAGATATGTACAAATACTTGTGATAAAATAGTGGGACAGATGTACATTAAAAATATTGACACAACCATGTTTTTGCATAAAATCTAGAAGAAAAAAAATCTAAAACACGTCCACATTTCCTTGCTTTATGTGAACTGATTGTTTGCTAAGACTTTGGACATTCTTCACCTAACATAAATAAAAGATGGTAAATCTATGCATTTTTTTCAAACAGAAATACAGTGAAAACTAAAACGTACGGTTTACACAACATTTACAGCATTTTACCGACACGAAACAATTCAAAAACTAAAAATGAGCGAAAATAAAAGGGGCTCAGTTAGGTGTATGTGTGTGATTTAATGACACCAGGTTTGACTAAAAGATTAAAAGAGGAGAAAGAAGAAAACATTTAGATATTATTGCAAATTGAAAATAAATGTGACTATCATGTAAAATGGCAACAATATACACTTAGAAACTCGATTTATTTAGATTTTCCAGTGAAATACAGGACCGTTTGGCTTTTGGACTTTAGTTTGTCAAGGTTTTAAGAATCGAGATAAAATATATTGGCAGTGCATTCACAAACATTTTTCTGAAATGATTCCAAGTTTTCAGTCTTGGCTTGTCGTTGGCAGACTAATGCATCTAACAGAGCAAAGGTTTAATTTCAAACGATTACAGAGTCATTGAATTATTTGGCTGAATGAACGCTTTGTGGTTCAAACTAGATCTTCTGAATTTTGTGAAGCCCTGGACACACCTTTTTTCTTTGTGTTTACTGCTATTTACATTTTACAGATACACACTGAGGGTAGAGTCCTGCACCTGCACACAACGCGGGAGTGGGCAGGTGGGATGATAAGCTGCAGTCCCGCAAACTAACGTGTATACCGCGCAGACCGTCCCCCCTCCCGTATGTCGCGCAGGCTGTGCCACTAAACAGAACTAAACCAGAACTAAACCAGAACTAAAACAGCTCTACAACAGGTCTAAAACAGGATTCAGCAAGGACTTAAACATGCCACCCCCCAGAACTAAAAGCAGGTCTAAAACCAGGACCAAAACCAGGACTAAAACTAGGACTAAAACCAGGACTAAAACAGGATTTAACCAGGTCTAAACCAGGTCTAAACCAGGTCTAAAACCAGGTCTAAACCAGGACTAAACCATGCCATGCGGGCTGTGTCTTCAAGCGTACCTCGACATCCCTGTCCGCGAAATATTGTCTGATATAAAACCGGTCTGTGGCGCAAAAAAGGTTGGGGACCACTGTTTTAGACAGTTCCTTTCCACTTTTACGTGTTTGATAGAACTTAAGAAAGCAAACGTCTCCACCTTGCGGGATTTGTGGGCGGGAGCGGAACAAAGTATCGCAGATGCGGGCGGGAGCAGGACTAAAAATTACAACTCTTTGCGGGTGTGGGCAGGAGCGGGACTGACAATTCTGTCCCACGCAGACCTCTAACCTAGGTGCTTTTTTCTTCTTCATTGCGCATTTTTTTGCTGGTGCGACTTATAGTCCAGAAATAGTAAATAGTTTACTCCGTTACCGAAAATGTAACGCCGTTATACTTAAACACCGTTATTCCCTACACTGGTTATTTCATTTCACACTTTGTTGTTTACTGCATCTCATATGTGTTCATTTATAGTTTTGAAGCCTTCAGTGAGAATCTAGAATGTAAAAAACAAAAACTGCAGCAGTACTAATTGTAATGTATCGTTATAGATCGCAAACTGAATTATTTTAGGAGTTATGAGAAGAAATTCTTGACTCTTTCAGTGGCTTCCTGTTTGTTTTAGAAATTATTTTAAGATTTTATTATTTGACTTTGGACACTGAGTTCTGAGGTATTTTAACACTTTTTATTCATGATTTATTCTGTTTTATTGTCCAAATTACTCTGTGCAGCACATTAGAAACGTTTATAAAATGTGTTTACGTAAAAGTGCTATACAAATAAAGTGGATTGTTCCTTTTCAGTCTAGACAAATCCAATTCATCACGGCCCGAGCTGAGTGAGAAGTGCGCCAACAACATGCGAAGGACCTGACAGGAGCAGCACCTGTTGAACTGTGATCTTTAGTCATTACACGAGGGGCCCCCGGGGCTGAGCGGAGAGCCGGGTCTGTACTGTACATGCAAATGACGCTGACCCCATTCCTGTCTCCACATGGGAACCCCCGCCAAGACGCGCTGAGATTGAGACGCGTTCAAGAGCTCCTCAAATGATTCGGAGATGAGGCTGCGAAGATCTTCTATCAGGGATTTTGTTTTCGTCTATTTTGGTTTTCCTTTGCATCGTTCCCAAATTAAACGCTTTTTTAACAGTAAAATTTGCAGCGCAGCTATTACTAACATGGCACTAACAGATAAATGACATGTTGTGAAAGTTATTTAAACATTGGACTTCAAAAACATGCAGGCATACCAAAAAAATTTACCTGGAAATTAGTAAAAATATCATATTGTGGCTGTTTTCGCACGTTGGCATTCAGTACTAAAGCAACATATGAACTAAACATACAAATTTAACTCAAATTGTCAAACGGCAAACAATTTAAACTAACAACTTTTTCTTATTTCTCCTCTTTTGGATGTGAAATTGACTCTTTGGAGCTTTAAGTCATATTATAATGTTGATTCTTCCACAAAAACAGACCTGGAGTTGTGTTTCGTTTCATTCACACATTTCCAGTTTGTTTGTGACGAGGAAACGACATTATAACAGATCAGAAAATAGCCTAATATGTGCCCTTTAACCCAAAATGTAAATACGGTAAATGTGTGTGTGTGTGTGAGAGAGAGAGAGAGACTGCTGGTGTGTGATGGAGCGAATGGCTTCAGTTAAATTAAAAAGGGTCGCTAAAAGAAGTTGGATCATGGGCCCTCGGACTTTTAATGCTTGCTTCAGTAGCTGTGTCCCATGTGGTTGGATAGGACAGGCTCGGTCTGGAACCCAGGGGTGGGGCTGTGGGGCTCTGGTACTCGGGAGGAGTGGGGGGGGTCCGGTACCCACGGGTGCTAGTATCCGTCGGTTCTGTAGCTTTGATGTGCGTCAGAGGTGAGCTGAGTCGTTTCTGTGGCTGAAGATGGCTGCACCACTACAGGCTCCCCATCTACAAAAAAACAAAAACATGTGCAAGGTCTGTAGCTCACCAAAGGATTTCAAAATTATACCATTGTGCTGATGAATAAAGTTTTTTTTTGTGCACTTAAAGCAGATGTCACAGAGAAAAACAATTACTAGAAATATAATGTAACTTTTTTTTTTTATTCCCCCACTAATATATATATGTATGTGTGTGTATGTGTGTGTGTATATATATATGTATATATGTATATATATACATATATTTTTTTTTTTACAATATAGATTGGATTTTGTATATATATGTATATATAAATAAAAAATAAAATAATAATAATAATAATGATAAAGATGATGATAGTAATTAAATTGAATAAATAAATATATTTTAGTTATTTACATGCCTATTACTATAGTAAATGTATAATTCTGAAGTACAACTTTTTGCACTAACAAAAGGACAGTGGTTTATGTTTCATAGGTGTCTAACAGTACCTAAACGCACGCCCTCTTTCTTACAATCGTCTCTATTTTTTGCAGCCACTAAAATGAGCGGCTCTCTGGCATTTTTGTTTTGTAAAGGAGCTCACTGTAGGAAAAAGGTTGGAGACCCCTCGTGAAAGTGGTTTGATTTCTGGTGTGTTTAAAAGCAAAAACAGCATTTATTCATTTGTTTATTTTATTATTATTTTTTTTTACAGTGACCCAAAAGTTGACGTTGTTGTCACACAAGTATGGGAGTGAATCATGGCGAATCATGGTGGAAACAACCACGTACCATATTTTTCGGACTATTAGTCATGCTTTTTTCCTGCGACTTATATATTAAAATGTTCAGACTGACATCCACGAGAGGCTCTAGTCTTGTGTGTCAGTGTCTAGTACGACTGTTACTCCTGTACTACTGTCACTTCACTCTACTGCGCATGTCTCCTGGAGAAAAAGCCGCTGTCTTGCCGCAAATAGTGAAATATGCAGCTGAAAACGGTAATCGAGGAGCAGAAAGAAAGTTTGGAGTGAGCGAGAAACTTATGAGGGACTGGTGGAAAGCGGGGATGGGGAACACAACTTCACAGCAACCGGGTGGATGCACCATGAAATTTTTACAGTACGTGAAACACCTTAAACCAGTACACCATGAGACGGCACAACAGAAAATCTTCTTAAACTTTAAATGATTCATGTTTCAGAGTACAGAGGTAAATTACTGTAAATGAGTGTCTTTTATTTGTATATTTTAGTTTTTTAAAGCAATTATTATTATATATATATTTTTTTATGGTAAAGTAAATAATAATAGTAGCATTGCTGCTAAATCCTTAAAAATATCCCTCTGTACAGTGAAGTGCTCTTGTTCAGTACAAAACTAAAGCCTCCTCCTGTGTATGTTCTTGTTATTATCTTATGGGCACTGACCTCTCTCGTCGGCGGCCATCTGAGCCTCCAGGTCCTCGGGGGACACGTAGAAGTCCGGCTCCTGGTCCATGGGGGGCCGCGGTTTACACTTCCCACAGCAGCAGTTACAGCAGCAGCACAGGCAGCAGCAGCAGTAACAGCCTGTGGCCAGACAACAGAACAGGAACAGGCCCTGCAAAACACACACAGCGAGGGACAAGTGTGACGCAAACTACTGCAGTGTGCACACATTTCATCAGGTATCAGCACTATGAAAGTTTTTTTTTTTTCTCTCTTTATGAATTTGTATTTTGTATGTTTGGATGTGATGTGTGGGTGGTTGTGTTGAGTGAAGCCTGACCTCCTTGGGGTTGTCAATAAATAACAGGGGTGTAAGAAAAAAAATCGATTCTAATATATCTTACTATATTATACTTCATTGTACAATTTTTGTATCAATTAAAAAATCTAAATCATTTTTCACAAAAATTCATTAGTTACATTCACTGTTCTCATGATTTTAAAAAGTTTATAAGTTTTATTTCATACAATTGTGTTCTCTTGAAGGTGTAATTGACTGTTCTATTGAAAGTAATTATTGATAAATCACAATATATCATCTTGTTTTAGTATCTGGATATATCATGATATATTAAATCGTGACATGCGATCATGGCATGTATCGTATCATCAGACTCAAGGCAATGCACACCCTTAATAAATAATAACTAACCTAAAAATATATATACTGTACTATGTGTTGCAGATTGCTAGGGAGGACTGTAGAATGTGCACTGGGACACTTCATCCAGACAATATAATCAGAGAGTAGAAAGGGACACCAGAACATATTTTGGAGCTTTAATGTCCTGTCTTCAATCTTGTTAGCTTCAATCTTGCCTTGACAAGACTTAATCCAATGAACTAAGACTTAAAAGTGCTAGAACTGTTATTTCTTCTTGTAGTCTGCACTGAAATGGAGCAAAAGATCATGGTCAATGTAGTTCCCTCTGTCTTTTTTTAGTTACTGATGCACCATAACTCTTCATTTAAAGAAAGAGACTTGTAGTTAGATATATTGTGATGGTCCACGAAATTATTGTGAAAACTTTGACGATACGATATCATGATTGTTACATCCCTAGTAATTAATATTATGTAATATATATTGTAGTAACGATCATTTAAATGCTGAGTTTTAAAAACACATGGTATTTTGGTTGGTTGAATAGTGACCTGCAGGTTGAATCTAGTTAATGCTGGTGTGTTAAATCTGTGCTTTAACAGTCTATCCCCAGGTTTGACTATCCCAAATTTAAGACTTTTTAATAACCTTTTTAAGCCCACTTAAATGAAAATTAAAACCAACATTGCACCCATTATGCAGGCAAAAAAACACCAGATTCAGTTCTAATAATAAACAATCTTGTTAGCTGTCTGTTAATCTGTCCTTTCATTTGAACTATCTTTATTATATTTATTTATTTATTTATTTATTTCGGTCACAGGTATATTTTGACATAAATTCATAAACAGTCATATTTAACATATACAGACCGAAAAGGTGCAGGCTGAAGCTTAAGCTTATTATGCCTACCCTTTCTTATCTGTTTATCTGAACTATCCTTTCATTTGAACTATCCTTTTGTCTGGTTATCTATAAACACATTTAAACCATAAAATAACTGTAACAGAGTAGTAATACATGCATCACGAATCTCGGACTTCCGGTCATCGCGCAATACATACTGGGAAGGATTTTCAGAAAAAGTGAGCATCAAACCGCCCTGTTTGTTTTCCCAGTGGGATGTGTCTATTGACAAAGTCGATCTTTTCAAGCCTTCTGAACCATATCACTTTTATTTCTGGTTCTGATATCGTCATATTTTAGTTTTGGGATTCAGACATCGTAATTGTGCGATTGTTGGATGTCCTAACAGCGGAAAATGGCTTGATATATAAATATTTGGTCGACTAATTTTTGAGGAGCTTATTACCACCTGAAGGACTGCTGAGGAACTGTCCCACCGAAAACTAAATTAATAAATAAACCAATGATTAATTGACTAGAGTGCTAATGAAGTACAGGCCTAGTCATTTACTTTTAATTTATTTTCCATTTTAAAACACAGCTGTTCTTCTGTATGATGTAATTTCTGAGCATCACATTTGCCAGGAAAGATAAAGATCGTTCTGATATTTGAGCAGTTTAAGCAGATTTCCTTTGTTTACATTAGAACTATCATGGCCTCCACTGGTGTATATGTAGAGTGTAATCATGAGAGTAAATAAAGCCGCAGTAGTGTCCTGTACCTTGGCCCACCAGCTGGACAGGACAAAGTAGGTGTTGACGTTCTCCTCTCCAAACTGCTCGGCCACGTACAGCCCCAGGGAGCCGTACTTGTCGTAGATGTTCTTCTTGGTGGCGTCTGAGAGGATGGAGTGAGCGTTGTTGATCTCTTTAAACTTGTCTGCTGCCTCGGGGTTGTCCGGGTTCTTGTCTGGGTGAAACTTCAACGCTAACTTTCTGTAAAATGGGAAAGAATCGTTAAAGTAAAAGTTGCTCACCGTAAGGATTAAAACAAAAAGGAGCTGTGGGTTCTGAGGTTTTAACACAAAATCATGGAGTTTCTGCAAAGTGCAAAACAATAAATTTAAATCTTTACCTCCACATTTGAGGTTTTATTAGAATTCAAAATCTGCGCAAAATACTTTTTCCTGTTCAAGTCGATTTTAAGTTTGTTTCTATGGATTTGTCATTGCTCTGCCTGAAATGTTCCAAAGTATGACATTTACATTTATTGTACCTTACATTTATTCAATTACAGGTGGTTTTATAGCTCAAAAACACCTATTTAAACAGACATTCTGACTGTGAGCGGGGTCGCATCTCCACGAACCTGACCTGTAACTTTTTTTTCCATTTGGTCTCTGTGAAGATAAAAAGGTTTAATGCCATACTGTGAAACATTCCAGACACAGCAATAACATCTTCACTGTGAAATTTGACAGACCCTCCATCAGGAAAGTTACACAATGCACCTTTTAGAAGATTTTTTCCATGTGGTACTTTTAATTTTCTTTTGCTCCGCTATCTGTACTTAAGTAACAAAATTGAGTACTTTTTCAACCACTTGCCTGGAGTGATTCAAAGCTATATGTCTCCCTCTAGTGGTCATGATTGCAAACACCATCCACTCTCAGTTAAAAACTCAAAATTTTTTCCTCGCTGTAGGTTTGCAAAACTTCCAGTTAAGGGTTTTCTGTGGAAAAATGTCTGTAGAAATGTCTGGTGTATTCTCCACCAGCTTCATAAATCTGCCCCATCAGCAAATCTTGAAATCCATGAAGAATTTATCCACAACTATCAAGGTAAGAAGGACGAAAAAAAATAACAACAACTATTGTTAGTGAACTACTGAGCAAAACTAACGTTAAGGTATCCTAGAGATGTCTCACATTCAAACTGCACAAATTTATCTATCTATATCAGGGGTCTCCAACCTTTTTTCTCCGGTGAGCTACTTTTACAAAAAAAAATGCCAGAGAGCTACGAGTTTTTGCAATCACAAGAAATTGAGCACATATAAGAGCCATGGTGAAACTTAGATGAGGTAGAGTTAGATGCCTATAAAACATAAACCATTGTCCATTTATTAGTGCACAAAGTTAGGCATCAAAATAACACATGTACAATGGTAAAAGGTATTTAATTAATCCAATTTTAATCATTCAGCACAATACGTGTAATTCCGAAATCCTTTGGCGAGCTACTTGGAAGGGGGTGGAGAGCTGCTGGTAGCTCCCGAGCTACAGGTTGGAGACTCCTGATCTATGTTAATATCAACATCATGAAATTGATATTTGATTTTAATTGTAAAATCAGTCTGAGTGAACAAGTTGTTTTATTCATGACTATAGTGTTAGTTTTGTTCAGTAGTTCACTAATGTGTCGTCGTTCTCCTTTAAGCTTTTGTTTTTTTACCTTGATAGTTGTGGATAAATTGTTCATGGGTGAATCAGGGTTCCCACTCTTTTTCATTGACACAATTTCAAAACTTTTCCATGACTTTTTCATGATCTAAAGTGAATTTTCCATGACTTTACGGCACCTACATGTGTAGAATTGAGGGTTTTAATTTTAGGGCTAAATATGAAATGTTAACTCTTTCCACTCACCTTATGGTTTGGGATTATAGTTTTTTAACATTCAAAATCCTGTCAGTGCAGACATTCAGAAATAATCAGAATAGCCTCATGAGAAATTAGCAGAACGTTCTAGTTGCATGAAAGAGATACTAAATTTCCACGATTTTTCCAGGATTTCCATGACTGTGGGAACCCTGAAGAATGTTTAAAGGGCCCATCTCATGCAAAACCAACTTTTCAGAGCTTTCTACCTTCTAAAAGTGATGTGTGGGCCTCGCTGAAGTGGTTTTTAGATTGATTCGGCATTTTTTAAACAAATTGCAGGGTATTTCTGCCACCCTCCCACGTGACAACAAACTAAAGCTGCTACAACGATGATGCGGCAGCTACTATTGTGCTTGTTTATGTGCAGAAGATACAATGTGAAAAGAGTTATTTTGCATGAGATGGGCCCTTTACACCTTCGTGGACCTTGTTGGTTGAAGATTTGGTGATGGGGCAGATTTATGAAGCTGCTGGAGAATATGACACATTTACAGAAACATTTTACGACAGAAACCCATTAACCTACAGAGGGACACTTCCGGTCGCTGTGAAAAAGCTCCATTAGCAGCAGCAGTAGTTGAGTTACCGGTAGCACTTCTTGATGTCTTCGGGGGTGGCGTTCTTGTCCACTCCAAGCACAGCGTACAGTGATTCTCCTGACGTGGAGAGCGCCCTCTGTCTGTGGGGCTCCATGGCTGCGTCACACTACTCCTGGCTCTCTCTCGCTCACCTGGACACACAAAAACACAAATACTCAACTAAATATGCAGATCGTATTTTTTGTTATATTAACAAGATAAACAATAACAAAATTGTCTTAGGTGAGCTTCGGGTACTGCACATTAAGAGGACAATGAATGGACAGTAAAATTAAAAGGTGTGGTCATAAAACGTGAAAGACAAAACTAGTTCATTTTATTTATTTTATTATTATTCACGTTCCTAATTATTCACAGCGATGAGTTTACAAGCTCACAGGGGCTTTTCTCAGGGGCCAGAGCAGAGTTTTGAATCAAAAACTACCATGCTAACAGTGTATTTCCTGATTATATGTCAATTAAACACTTAATAATTAAATCCAGAAATTACACAGTAGGCCTGTAACGATAATCAATAAATGTATTAATTGTACAATAACTTTTAACGATCTCGATAACTTTTCCGGCTGCGATAAATTCTATTTGCTTGTTTGTTTTCCTGTCTGTGCAATGAACATGAACCCGCAACACAAGCGCCGCTGTCAGAGTGATAAAACAGTTCATCGCAGAGTGCCAAAACACGTCACGATGCCAAATCAACTCTGGTGAACAGGACACGTCTCAACAGTCACGTGCGTCAAATGCAGCAAGTGCAAAAAATGACGAGAAGAAATGTCTCAAACCCCAACAATCGATAAACCCAAACCCGAGTGACAGAACTAGCCCCCGGGAGAGCCTGAAATCCACTGAAATCCCACAAAACACCGACACGATACCAGACAGGACAGTGACTCCCTCATAGTGAAATAACATCCTGTGTCGCGGGTTAATACGAACATTTAAATGACCAAAATGCTGAGGCTCACAGCAGCAGCAGCCACAGAGAGAGAGTGGCCACTATATCGCCAATGTAATTCAACAACTAAAATCACTTTTAAGGACAATTTTGTTACAGAGACTTAATAATCCAGATCGTTTCGGATACAGTGATACAGCGATTCGTTTCAGTGTAAACGTAACCTAAGACTTAAAAGTAGAGCCCGACCGATATGGATTTTGTTGTGGCCGATATGAAACCGATATAATGGGGGTTGGCGCTGCCGATATAATCGCCGATATATTTAGTGATGTAAAAATTCACTGTAAATGTTGAATTGTTTAAAAAACTTAGGTTTGGCTCTGGTGGATTTTAAATTGGGTTTATTTAGGCAACATTTATTGTTATTCTGCCTCTTTACATCATATTTACAGACAGTAGGTTGGCTTAATGGCATTTTTGCATCACATTCTAGACACTAGTGATGGTATTCCAGTTCTTTTTAGAGAACCGGCTCTTTTGGCTCGGCTCACTAAAAGCTGCTGGTTCTTTTGGCTCCCAAGTGGCTCTTCAGATTGTTTTGTTGCAAGCAGGTCTAAAGCACGTCTAACGCAGGACTGAATCAGGACTGAACCAGGTCTAAACCAGGACTGAAAAAGGACTAAACCAGGACTAAAACAGATCTAGACCACGTGTAAAACAGGACTAAACCAGAACTGAACCAGGACTGAGTGTCGGGACTCGGTCTCTATCTCGTGCTCAAGATTAGTCCTGGTTTATTTATTTTATGCTAAATACAGCCAAATATGCTCGTTTTTTTTTCTCTCCTATGCACACGCAAATTTCTCAAAGTTTCGTTTTCAGCTGCTGCCGCTGTCAAACTCCCACGAGTCTGCACGCGGCGTGAAGAGAAAAAAAGTGAGAGAAAGAGAAAACACGGCTCCCAATAAGGATCAGGCTCCCGTCGTTCGCTTCAAAGAGCCGGTTCTAAGAGTCATTTCGTTCGTGACCGACCCATAACTAATAATGTATAATAAAGAAACTAGCGCTATTAGCCTTTAGCTGTAAATACGTGCGCGCTGCGGTAATTAATTATATGCGCAAATGTCATAATTCACACGTCTGTTCACAGCTCATTTACATATCAGTGCAGGTCCAGCAGCAAATATACGGCCAATATAGTCACTTTACAATAGACCAACAGAAAACAGCCTGTTTATGTGCGGGAGCTACAGCAGCTAACCCATAACAAATGATCAAAACTAGCTTCAGAGTCGACATATTTCCAACACTCACCGCTCATACAGGCTCCTCCTCACATCACAAATCTGCACTAATAAATGTCCTTTTAATCCAGATTCAAACCGATTTTCCGTAAAAAGAATATAATCTCAGTGTTTGGATCTGTGTCTGCAGGTCTAAACAAACACATGTGAGTGACGCGACTCTGTGGTGTGTTCAGGGACAGTACAGACACACACAGACAAATGACTCCGCAGATAAATACTGATGTGGAGCCACATATTAGAACATTTATCTGTCTGTAAATTGGATTAAATGAAGAGAATGTAAAGAATCTAAGATTTTTTACGACGTATCACACGCCCACGTGAAATATTGGCCCCTATCAGCAAGCATATCGGCCGATAGCCGAAATGCCTCCAGGTGCCCATATCAGCCGATAATATCGGCCAACCAATATATCGGTCGGGCTCTACTTAAGTGTTAGAACTGTTATTTCTTCTTGTAGTCTGCACTGAAATGGAGCAAAGGATCATGGTCTATGTAGTTCCCTCTGTCTTTTTTTTTAGCTATTGTTGCACTATAACTTTTAATTTAAGCAAATGAACTTGTAATTCAATATATTGTGATGGTCCACGATACTATTGTGAGAATTTTGATGATAGAATATCACGATATTTTGGTTATTGTTACATCTCTACTAAATATGAAATATTAACTCTTTCCACTTACTTTATGGTTTGAGATTATAGTTTTTTAACATTCAAAATCCTGTCAGTGCCTTTATTGTCGTCTCTTTTGGCAATACCGGCTTGTAAAAGACTGATCCTGTCAGATCTCAGAAGCTAAGCAGGCTGGGCCGGGGTAGTACTTGGATGGGAGACCGCTAGGAATTCCAGGTGCCACAGTGGGGCGCCAGTGGCAAAAAAAAAAAAAAAAACTGTCGTTGTGTCCTTAGGCAAGACACCTCACCCACATTGCCTAGTATGAAAGTTGTGTGAGCGTGAGTGATGGTGGTGGTCGGAGGGGCCGATGATGCAGTTTGGCAGCCTCGCTTCCGTCAGTCTGCCCCAGGGCAGCTGTGGCTACAGTAGTAGCTTACCACCACTGAGTGTGGAGTGACTGAATAATGAACTGTAAACCGCTTTGGGTATCTTGAAAAGGCGCTATATAAATGCTATCAATCAATCAATCAATCTTTTGAAAAAAAAGGCACAGACATTCAGAAATAATCATAACAGCCTCATGAGAACTTAACAAAACTCTGTAGTTACGTGAAAGAGATACTAAAATTCTATGACTTTTTCAACTTTTTTTATATACTATAATAGTGACAGGTGTTCCAGTCATAAACCCAGAGGTCACATGGCCGATCAGCGAGGTCATCGGAGTTCATCAAACAAAACTAAAATGTCTGAGTGCAGATCACACATCCTGATCACATGACGATGACTAAACCAAAACCTTATCAGACTAAACCCACACTGTCATGCACACGCAGCTGAGTACACGCTTAATCTAATTTTTGTCTAGTCCCTCCAGGGAACCAGTCAGATCACTTTAGCACCAGTCCACAGCAGGCCCAAGAACAGAACAGCTGCAAATGGGAAGACTAAAACTTTGTACCAATAATACAAAAAAAATTGCTAATACACAGCATCACTTGACCCTTCCAGACCTAACAGCAATTTTAGTCCTCACCTGGATTTTATTTTTCTTAATTTTGCATTTAAAACTCCCCCTTTTATCTCCAGTGAAGTGTTATACATCATTTTTTTTCAGTACAACCTGTTATTTCACAATCTGCTACTGTAGTTGTGTCATATGGCTGAAATAAAAGGAAAAGAAATAACAAAAACTAAAATTAAATTCACACTCTTTCTTACAAAACAAACAGTAGGTCCAGGGCACAGACTCACATCACTGCATTTCCATGAAGCTGATTACATTTGGATTTGTACATTTTGAGTGAAATAAACCTGAAAATAAAAACAGCAATGGATGCACAATTACACTAGTCAGTCTGGCGCCACCTAGTGCCTCCGCTCAATTTCATTTCTCTCCAGCAACTAGATCAGGAATCAGAATATACTAGACGGTTTACAAGAACCCTAGAAATGCAAGTTCGGGCACCAGTCAATCAGCGTAGAGCCAGACATTCTGTGTTGGCAACGATTCCAAAGATCGAGGATTTAAAGCCGGAATAAAGAGAATGTTTGGTGAATTTTATCAAGGGGAAAGACGTTATTGTCCTTCTTCCTACAGGATTTGGTGCATTACATACGTCACGACCAAACAGCAATGACTGGTTAAATTTAAAAAAGTCCCAGCTTACTGTCGAGTGAATGAATCCTAATGCTATGAGGTCAGAAATGAAGTGAAACAAAGTGAAACTGGCTGATGAATCAGGCTACAATTACAGACCAAGATGCGTAATCTGCCATTTTTTGAGAAATATCTGCACTTAGAGCGACTTTTTTAATTGTTACGAACACAGACGCTCAGAGCATCGACCATTTTGACTCACTACACTCTTTGGCAAAGTTTGGTCTGATCAAAAAGGATGGAGCGCATGAGTTTGACTGAAAACAGAGTTCCTATTGGACACTCATTTTCCCAAAGTCACCGCGCAGCGAGTGACGTAGGATAATGCCAGAAACCCAAAACATGCTACAGGTCTCCAAGAAGAACAGCTGATAGCCAAGGTCAGTTAAATACAATCAATCAATGAACCAAGGACAACATGTGGAAATTATCACTGGTGCTACAACCTGGTACAAAGCATCTCTTCTGTTAAGGTTAATGTAAAAATTGTGCGCTGTCCCTGTCTTATTAAAAGAATAAATGAATGAATGAATAAAAAAAATAATTAAATTAAATTAAAAATAATAAAATTAAATTAAACTTAATTTAAAAATAAAAATAAATAAATAAAAATGTAAAAACATAAAAATAAATTACATTAAATTAAAT